AAATAATATAGCTTAAACTTTATATATGTATTTCGTATGTAAAAAACTATCTATATTAATAAACTAGAGTAAAGTCTCACTTTAGCCAAAAAAAAAAAAAAAATAGCCTAATTAGGTGTAAATAATAATAATAATAATAATAATAATAATAAATTAAAAATATAAATTAAATTATAAATTAAATACTTTTATTAAAAAAAATTATTGTATTTTCTTAATATAAAAATAATAAATTATTTATAGATTTAATTTAATTTTTCAATCTTTAAGTTTTTAAATAAATTTTTAATAAAAAAATTTTTTTTGTTTTTAAATTATATAAAATACAATATTTCAATAAATAGTTTATTATAAATAATATTCTAATAATAAATTTTGTTTATAATTGGTTAATATAAAATAAAAATCAACTTTTTATTTGATAATATTAAGGCTTTAAATTTTGTAAGATTCTTTTAATGGTTGAAATATAATATAGATAACATTTCCTTTAATTATCTGTTTAAAAAATTATTCATTTATTAGTAATTTGTACAATCATAAGCCTAAGATCAAAAGCCATATTTATCAGTTTGATTTAGGTTTGAAAAAAAAAATTGTACCCGAACGTGCGTGATACAAGTAGTTTTTTGTTTATGACCCAATGACATATGAACGAAAATAACATTTCAAATATGGCAGTTTTTGCATTACAAACTTTTTGTATCACTTCTAAAACAATAAATTGGTTAAAATGATCAACATGAATTTGATCAACTAATTCAACTATGCAAGATCAAAAGCAACAAGAAAGTGAATTTCAGGCTGGTATCCCGCCACGCTTAATAGCCATATTTTACGCGATTTTCGACGATGATAGAGGACCAACAGTATCACTTGAGGTCCCCGAGGGTTCCATTCTACCAATAAAATCCTCAAATCCAATAATTGATTTTGAATCAATTTCAGAATATATTATTCCAAAGAAAGAATTATGTGGTCATTTGGTCACTATATGCACAGATTCGTACAAGGTTATGGGGTTCCCTACTATTATACGAGACAACAAGTATCCAAGATACAATTTTGAATTCAATATATGCTTTGTATTTGAACGCAGCGCTGATACTTCAAGCTATGAGCCAGTCGTAAGAAAAGTTGCAACAATATTTCACTCCTTGGAGGTGAGCGCGATAATTTTATCAAAAAAGTATTTTTTTTGTCTTATACACGTTATTATTATTACTTATTTATTTTTTTTCTTGTGAAAGGTTGAAATCGAGTTTTTATATAATAATAAAAATTATGATTTTATGTACAATATTATCGAGCAACTTCTTGAAGATCTCAACAATTATTGTGAAAGTCAAATATACATTAGTAAATATTCATTTGCATTATTAATTTAACACTAATTAAACTATATACCTACTAAATGCATGGATATTTGTTAGATGAATTAAATACAATAAATCTTAAATTATACCCGACTTATCGACATCCGCCGCCAGTATATGACTACCAAGTGCCAATAAGCACCGTAAATCTTCAAGGCTTAATGGATGAAAACTGGGATATAACAATGAAGAAGGTAAATCTTATATTGAATAAACACATAATTTGAAGTCATACTAAATTATATATAGGTTGCAAAGCGCATAAACGGAATTGACCACGTGAAGAAAATTGCAGATTTAGCAGAAGTAGATTGCAGTCTCGCGAGAAAATGCATGCAACACCTTTTGTACTATTTCTAGTTTATTACTCTAATTTTGTATCAAAAGTATAACAAATAATTGATTATAATTTTTCCTATCTTTAGATATTATGGATGCATTATAATGATTGATATCTTTCAGGTAGCTCTACATATGAATATTTAGTACATTGGTTTAGATGACTTATTCCATTTTATTTTAATATTTATTAGTTTTCGAATGTTTACACGCCAAAACCAGAAATTACTAAAATAATTGACGACAAAAAGATTCAGCATGAATGTTTATCCTATGTGCGAAAGGAAGGTAACTATGAAGGGCTTCTAGTTAGATTGAATTTTTATCCAGAATTATTATAAGAAATTAATTTCCTTTACGTAGGCGCGAAATCCCCGTCATTTACTAAACTGTTCTCTTTCTACTGCGATTTGAAATACGGAATGACCGTTAAAGAATGGCTTATGGAAAATAAAGAAATTGCTGCTTCAAACATTGATATTCGGTAAGTATTTTTTTTAATGAAAGCTTGTATTTATTACGTTGTAAGAAATAATTGGTACTAATTTATATTTATTGTTAAAGACGATTCATATCCTTTGGCATAATAAGGTCATTTATATACCGAGTTCACAAATATCCTATTCTTCCTGAGCCTCATCAATCAAACAAATTACCGGAAAATTTGTGCAGGTATTTTATTTATGTGACTACTTTCAGACACTCATTGATTTGAATTAATTATTTTATGTAACCACAATGATCAGACTACTTGATGGTAAGCATCACTACGACGAGATATGTACAATGGAAAATATTAGTGCGAAGGGATTAGATGAAATTTTGAGTCAAGAACCAGAAGTAAATTTTATTTGGCGTTAATTAACATCTATAAAATTTATTTATACCTTTCAAAGAATTATATATCAAAATACCTATATAATTTCATCACGAAAAAAAAATTCGAATTTTTATTTGTTTCATTTGTTTCATTAATGTTATCGAATACTATAATTTATTGTATATCTAAATTTTTATTAACAGTCCGGAAGACATTAATTTATTAAAATCAATATTGTAAATTTGTAAATTATATTGTAAGGAAATATTTTGTATATTACAATCTGTTTATTTAGAAATAGTTATTTGTTACTATTAAAAATAAATCTATTATTCAGTCTGGGACAAAAAATCTATAAAGTTAAATAAAACAAATAATTTTATTAGAATCATATTTAATTAAAAATATTATTATTATTAAAAAATTAATCTATTTGTTATTTAAGTTGCTGTTCAAAATCTTTTATATCAAAAATAAAACCAATATAAAAATATATATATTGCTTTTTATTTTAAATTATCTGCAAAAATATGAAATTTTTTTGATTATAGATATTAAGTTATTTATACATAAATTTTTATCTAATTTAAATAATTATTTATTAAACAATAGTAAAAATATAAAGAATAAATTATTTTTTTATTTTCAATTAAATAAGTATTTATTGTATTTATTTAATCTTGAAACAAATAATATAATTATATAAAAACATTTATACCTAAACTATTGAATACTTATTAATTTTTAAATATGATTTGAAAATAAATAAAGTTATTTTTTTCTTATTTTCTATTTCTAGAAATACTCAAGTTTATTATTATAATTTATTTTGATAAAATTATAATTATATTATATTCCAATTATTTTTTATTATTTTTAATTTTGTTTTTTGTTATTTTTATAATCTTGTTTTATGAAATATATTATTATTAGAATAAATTAATAAGTTTATCATTATATTACAATTATTAATTATATTATATTAAAAAAAATATTTGAATATAATATAAGAAATAAAAATATATTAGAAAATATAATATATTTTTTGTTTAAAACTCTTTCCGCTGATCCTTTTGCCAACCCAAAAAACAGACGTTCTCAAAAGATTTTTGTCTTTATGATAATAA